CCCCCTCCTCTCCCGCCCGTGGTGGCACCATTCGGTGGGCACGGGCCCCGTGGAGTGCAGTGAAAAAGCCATTTGCATAAGACGCGGTCGTGCGAGGTCAAGCTTGTGCCCAATGTGCTGCAATCCATGTGGTGTCAGTGGCAGGAGTAGTGGTAGTAGTAGTAGTAGTAGTAGCAACAGCAGCAGCAGCAGCAGTAGTAGTAGTAGCAGCAGCAGCAGCAGTAGTAGTAGTAGTAGCAGCAGCAGCAGCAGCAGTAGTAGTAGTAGTGGTGGTCGTAGTAGTAGTAGTAGTAGTAGTAGTCGTAGTAGTAGTAGTAGTAGTAGTATAGTAGTAGTAGTAGTAGTAGTAGTAGTAGTAGTAGTAGTAGTAGTAGTAGTAGTAGTAGTAGTAGTAGTAGTAGTAGTAGTTAGCTAATAGTCGTCGGCGCCGTCGTCGTCGTAGTAGTCGTAGTAGTAGTCGTAGTAGTAGTAGTAGTAGTAGTCGTAGTAGTAGTAGTAGTAGAAGTAGTAGTAAGTGTAGTAGTAGTTAGTAGTAGTCGTAGTAGTGTGTAGTAGTAGTAGTAATAGTAGTAGTAGTAGTAGTAGTAAGTAGTAGTTAGTAGTAGTAGTAGTCGTAGTAGTAGTAGTAGTACTCGTAGTAGTTTAGTAGTAGTAGTAGTAGTAGTAGTAGTAGTAGTAGTAGTAGTAGTAGTAGTAGTAGTAGTAGCGTAGTAGTAGTAGTAGTAGTAATAGCAGTAGTAGCAGTAGTAGCAGTAGTAGTAGTAGTAATAGTAGTGGTGGTACGAGTACTAGTAGTAGTAGTAGTAGTAGTAGTAGTAGTAGTAGTAGTAGTAGTAGTAGTAGTAGTAATAGTAGCAGTAGCAGTAGCAGTACCAGAAGTAGAAGTACCAGTAGTAGTAGTAGTAGTAGTAGTAGTAGTAGTAGTAGTAGTAGTAGTAGTACTAGTAGTAGTAGTAGTAGTAGTAGTAGTAGTAGTAGTAGTAGTAGTAGTAGTAGTAGTAGTAGTAGTAGTAGTAGAGTAGTAGCAGTCGTAGTAGTAGTAGAAGTAGTGGTAGTAGTAGTAGTAGTAGTAGTAATAGTAGTAGTAGTAGTAGTAGTAGTAGTAGTAGTAGTCCTAGGAGTAGTGGTCGTAGTAGTAGTTGTAGTAGTAGTAGTAGTAGTAGTAGTAGTAGTAGTAGTAGTAATAGTAGTAGTAGTAGTAGTGGTAGTAGTAGTAGTAGTACTAGTAGTAGTAGTAGTAGTAGTAGTACTAATAGTAGTAATGGTCATCGTGGTAGTATGAGTTGTAATAGTAGTAGTTGTAGCAGTAGTAGTAGCAATGGTAACAGTAGTAGTAGAAGTAATAGTAGAAGAAGAAGAAGTAGTAGTAGTAGTACTAGTAGTAGTAATGCTAGCAGCAATAGAAACGCTAAGTGCAGCTGCAGTTGTTTGTAATAGTACTCGTCGTAGTAGCAGTGATAATAGCAGCGCGCTTGTATACCATGGCTTGTCCTCTCTCCATGTAAGCCCTGACAGCATGACACTTTTCCTAAGCATTTCCAGACGCCACCAGCGCGAATCGCGACGCCACTGGCCCCCCCCACCCACCCACCTTCCCGGCAGCGGCCGTCGTCGCCGAAGAATTGAACAACAACTCTCTGGTAGAACGCGCTGTCGGGCGGCGACAGCGCGGTGAAGAGCTGCTGCGCGAGGAGGAAGCGTCAGTCGACCGGGCTGCGGCCGCTCCGCGGCTGCCTGCGGGCAGGTCGGAGGCCCCCCAGGCGGGGGCATCAACGGGCAGACTGACTGCGCGTGCTGAACAGAGAGAAGGGCCACCTCTCGCCTGCAAGGAGCTGCGGCGCGACCAGGGGCAGGCGTCGTTGGGGCGCCCGCGCGGAGGATGCAAGCTGCGAGACAGGTCCAGGAGCGGGAGTGCTGCTGCGGCGGCGGGGCGGCGCAAGCCGGGCCAGGAATTGACCCTTCGGGCCCCCCCCAGCTGCGATGCTGGGCCCAGGAACGCTCTTTCCCCAAGCTTCGTGGCCGTCCCGGAGCGCGGCTGCCAGCCTGGGCCAAGGGCGCCCGTCTCCGCGGCGGGACACCGCCTTCCTTGCCCGTGCCATCGCCGCGCCACAAGTGCTGCGCGCGCACCCGTTTCCAATCGGCCCCGAGGTTCAGCACGTCGCCCATGGACCGCGGGCCCCATTTGTGGTGGCGGAAGGAGTCCAAGAAGCTGACGCGCATTTGATGGTCGTGCCGGAGCGGGTCGAGTGCTGCTCTGGAACTGGGCGAGGCGTGCTTTCGGACGAGCGCGTGCCGGGCGCCTGCGAACATCGCCCCAGGGTGACTTGGAGTCGCTTGATCGTTTTGCCCGGGGGGGGGCCGTAAACTCCCCGCTGCGCGCCTTCAGTCTTGATTTTGTAAAGCTGCTTTCCCGCGTCGGGATCCAGGGTTTCAGGCCGCCGGCGGACGGCGCGCCCCCCGCCCGCGTCGGACGCGGCGGCTCGCTGGTTCCAGGCGCTGCTGCTGCTGCTGCTGCCGCCGTGCTCGCCGTCTGTCTGTCGTCTGCCGTCCGTCGGGCCCCGCCGGGCCGCCGGCGCCGCCGGGCGCCAGGTTCCGCCCCGCGGGCGGCGAGGGGGCAGGGGGGTCGCCGGTTCTCGGGGCCCGGCCCGCTGTCCAGCCGCATCCAGGCAGACGCGCCAGCGGCGCGCGCTTGCCGCGGCGCCGTCGCTCCTCGGCGCCGGGACTCGCACTGTTGCAACGGAGAGCGGTGTCAGGATGGAGCGCATCCGCCCGCGCGCCGCTGCTGCGGGCTAGAGGGTCAATCGAAGAAGTGCGCGGGCGGGTGGTCGCCTGCTCCTGCTCGTCTGTCGCCCCCGGCGTCGGCTCCAACGCCTGCTGCCCCCAGGTCGTCGGCGTCGGCGTCGGCGTCGGCGCCAGTCAGCGCGGGTGGCGGGGCTCTTCCACAGGGGCCCAGCCCGCCCTCCAGGTTTTTCTCGGGGCGCCGACCGCGCGCCCCCCCCCCCGCGCGGCGCCGCCCCTCCCCCGTCGCCGCCTCCACCTCGGCCGCGCGGGCGGCGGCGGTGCTGGACTGGGCGCGCCGGGCGCGTCCGCTGGCCCGCCCCGCCGCGCGCCCGCGCCGTCGGGCATCTCGTCTCCTCCTGAGCCAGGGGGCTGCGGGGTTCAGCGCCCCTTGGGGCACAACGTCTGGGGGGGCCTCTATCCTGCTCGCAAGCGTGACCGGTGGAGCCACCTACGCCGGGACTGTCGCGCGAGGCAGCGGGCGCGTTAGCGAAATCTGCGCCAAGCCCGCCCCCTGAAACTTCGCCGTCGGACTGGCCAGGCCCGCGCGAGGGAGCCGCGCTCGTTCCAGGACAGCCAGCGACGGCTGACGGCGCAGAGGGGCCCCGCTCGCTCCAGGAGGGGGCCTCGCCTCTAGGCGAGCGACTGATCGTCGCAAAAGTCCTCAGAGACACGGGGGGGCGGAGTGGGGAAAGCGACGTTCCCAGGCAGGCGACTAATCGTCGCAAGCGTCCTTTGCGAATCATGTCCAACGACTGATCGTCGCTGAAGCGGGGGGGGCGCGGGAGGCATCATCTCCAGGCAGGCGACTGATCGTCGCAAATGTCCACTGCGAAACGTCTCCAAGTAGGCGACTGACCGTCTCGCGAACCGAGAGGTCTGCGCCAGGCTCACCCGCTGGACTTCCATAGTCGGGCTGCCCAGGATCGCGCAGGGGGAGCGTGCGCGTCGTGGTTGTCGCCGCCCCCTGCTCCAGCTCCCGCTAAAGCTCCCTCAGCTCCAGCCCCCGCTCAGGCCCAGGCGCGGTCGGGGAGCAGCAATGGGCCGCAGCGGCCGCCGCCGCAGTGGCGGCGGCGCCAACGGCCGAGGCAGCGGCGGCGGCGGCGGCGGCAGCGGCGCGCGCGGCCGCGGGCCCCAGCTCGACTCCGAGCCACGGCGACCGCGGCGCCAGCCGCGCAGCCGGCGGCAGCGGCGGAGGCAGCGCCTGCGGCGGCCGCGGCAGCCGCCGCAGTGGCGGGCACCGGAGGCGCCGCGGCGGCGCCGGCGGCGCCATCGGCCCACGCGGCGCCACCAGCGCCGGCGGCGCCCGCAGCAGCCGCGGCGCGGGGAGCGCTGGCGGCGCCAGCGGCGCCAGCACCGGCGGCGGCCACGCCAGGAACGGCCGTGGGGCGAGCGGCGCCCGCGACGCGAGCCGCGCAGGCAGCCGCCCGCTGCTGCCAGCGTCGCGCCGCGGCAGACTCCATCGGCGCCCGGCGGGCCCGCACCTGGCAAGGGGCGTGCTCGAACCCTGACCCCGGAAGGAGGAACACCCCCGGGAAACGGCTTGAGCCACGGCTACGGTAGCTGGTGGGGATAAGCGAAAGGTCGAGAATTGCCCTGAAGGACGCAGGTCCTAAGTAGACCCTGGGGCTCTCCCCAGGGCCATCCGGATTTGTTTGACAACCTTTGGGCCCGTGGAAAGTCCCTGCACTGGGCCAACAATTCCAAAAGAGCCCGTTCACACCAGGACCCGTTTCCCTCATGCCGACTCCCTCTCTCTCCTTTCAATCTTTTTTCTTTCACTGAAAAAAGGTACGATGCGCCAGAGCAGATATTGCCCAAAACCGACAATCGCCGCTGTTGGACAGGCGACATCTTGTCTCAAGTGCGCAGCGTCAGCAACGGGACCGACGGTGGATCCGCTGTCAAAACTCGCCCCCACACTTTCCGTACCCATTCCGATCCTCCCGATTTTCGAGAGAGGATCGCGCCCGAGGCTCCGACAGAGGTGAAAGAGGGGACGATAGGGGAGGACCAGCTCAGTGGGGGGAACGTCGAACTCGGATCGGCGCCACGTCGCCCGTCGACCAGCGATAAGCCCCCGACAGCGAATCCGCACGTTCATGGGCGGGTTGGGCTATCAGGCAGCTGTCGGCGATCAGTGGGCGATTAGGGGGCCGATCTCGCCCCAAAACGTTGCCCCTGAAAAAGCAGGCCGGGCGGGGCGGCGGTCGCAACGGCGCCTCTCGATGGGGGGCACCAGCCGCGCCGAGCACCTCGGGCCAGGTTTGGGGCGTGCGCGCCGAGCCCAAGACCGGCCCGCCGGCGCGCCGGCTGCAGTCGAGCGCGGGGCTTCGCCCTCGCTCTCCCCTGACATCATCGCGTCGAGAGAAAATTACGCACGATGGACTCCAGGCATGAGCACCAGAAGACTCTGGACGAAAAACTGGCCGTCCAAAACTCTGGGGAGCCACGGTGTGAACAAATCACGACGTCGGATATCCGGGTCCCCTTTCCCATCCTACTCCCCCTCCCCAACCCATTCCCCCGCCCCTGTCCTTCCCGCCCCCCGATATTCAAGTTTTGGCTAGGGACGCTTGTGGCAGAACCCTGCCCGTCCCCCCTGGTATTCAAGTGCTTTGCTGGGATGGTCATCCCCAGGTATGACTGGAGTTTCCTCCTGGAGGACCTGGAGGCGGACCCGGGGAGTGCAGAGAGCCTCCACCGATCCTGCAATGGTCCTTTCATCGACGTCCCGCCATCTATTGATATTTTCGTGTTGGTGCTCCTCCCTCTGCTTTTCTGCAATCTCCCGTCCCATCCTCAACCTGGCTCTACAGAGCGAAAAATTCACTCCCGACCCCACTAGGGGGTTCACCCCTCGCCTCCCCCACCTCTCCCTGCCACATGGCCACTTGCGTGTACTGAGAAGATGGGCCGTGCCCGACACATCAGTGGGCGTTAGCGCACTTAAATATGTAGTGTTCCAGCACTCGCAGCCCCAGACCTGTACGACTCAAAAGCGGGGGAGAGGGGATGTGTGCGGGTGGGGTGGAACCTGATGGTGGGAAGCACCACCGCGCCTTGCTCCGCCTCCTGACACTCCGCATCCCCTTGTGCCCTGTGGCGGCGTGGGCCCAATCCTCCTGTTTCCACCTCGTCCCCATCCTTCCTCTTCCTCGAGACTCCTGCCCGTCCTCACATAATTACTCCTCCTCCCCTTCTCCTCCGCATGCTCCTCCCCAGCCCGGCTTTGCAGAGCGCGGAATCCATTCTCGGAGAGGTTCCAGGAGCGGTCGTAGGCGGGGCGACAGGGGAACAAATGAGAGAAAACGAGAATGTTCTCAACTCGGGTACTTTTCGCGGCGCAACAGAACTAACAACACTGCACGTCTCCTCGCTGCGTGAGCGCGGTGTGCTAAACAACTGCAGAGGCGATGGCATCAACAAATAGCATATGACTCCTGGCCTGTCATTTCGCGAGAAGACAATTCGGCCAATCGTCCCTCGCCAACATCAATCAGCCTCCGTAGCTATGCGATACCTCGTGAGGACCATGCTGCTGCCCACAATGGAGGGGGGGCCGCCGCCACCGATGCCGCGGCCTGCAGAGGCGGGCGTAGTCTCTGGGCTGCAGGCAAAGCACGATGCGCACCCAGAGCTCGACGGGCAGCGGTAGGGCCTGCCGCTGGGATTGGCGAAAAGGCGTGGCCCGCGAGCGCCGCAAAGGTGGGGGGAGATTAAAGGGGTCCGGCTCAGGGCGTGAGGTATATCGGCTGGGAATCGGCGACGCATCGCCGATACATCAGCAATAGGCCACCGAAAGCGAATCCGGACGTTCCTGGGGGGGTGAACCATCAGGCCTGTCGGCGATGAATGAACGATTAGGGTTCTAGTTTTTGAGGGGACGCATCGGACAACCGCAGCGACTGCATCACATCCTCCGGTCGTCCCCCACATCACATCATCTCCCCCCCGCATCCTCTCCCCCGTCCTCGTCCTCTTCTATTGCCGTCGTCGCCGCGCCTTTCATCCTCACCTCATTATCGTTATCCCTTCAACCGTTTCCTTTTTCGTTTCGGAACCGCCTGGCAAAGAGGAGCGCCGCCCTGGGCCCTGAATTCGCCCTTCCCCCCCCCCACATTCCCTCATCTCCTCACTGTCGCTCCGCCACTTCCCCTGTGACCCTGATCCTTCTACGCCTCCCCCCACCCCCCCTCTCCTCCCTCCTTCCTCGTCGTGCCACCCCATGCTTCGTTTCTGGAGTGCAAAAGCGGTTCGTTCATCATATAACAATCCGCGCCATCCAGCCCCTTCATCGCCCCCCCCCCCCGTATATACGTCCTACTCCCTCCTCGCCGTCCTCCTTCTCAACGCGTCATTGATTACCTGTTCCTCTTCGCACCTTCGCTCTCCTATTTTCCAGCCTTTGCCGCCCGCCAAGCGAAGGCGACGAATGTGCGCGAGGGGCTGGGCGACAACAGCTGGCTCCCGAAAGTAAGCGTTTGGCGTCCGTAGTTGGCTCCCGAACTTGGGCGGCAGCAACGAAAATGCGATAACTTAGTGAGCTGACGCTGTAAGGCTCTCTTAGAGGGGTAAGCGGGAGCACGTTTAATACATGGTGATGCTCAAGAGGCCAAGTTCCGGGCGATCCCAAATGCTGCGAGTTCCGCCCCCGTCACAGCCCAAGCACGGATGATCCCTCTTGCGGCGTGCATGTTGCGTTGGCCAGCGCTGCCATACCCACGTCGCGACATCCTCGATCAGGGATCCCCAGCTTGCCACCGAGCCTATCCATCTGGCGAACCAAAACACAGCCGCCATGAAGAGGCGCCGAAGAAGAAACGGAGCACGGCAACGAAATCTCCAGCCCGCGATCGTCGATCAGGGTGCGTTCCAAACTCGCCATGGCCGATATAGGTCCTGGGACACTTCTCCGAGTCCTGGAGACCAGAGAGAGAGAGAGAGAAAAAAAAAAACCGAAAATGCACTCCGCGACTCTCAACTCCTTGGAACTGAGAGAAGTCTTCAGTGAGGTGGTAGGCCCAACCAAATACTACGCGTTCGGCGCAGCATCCGTCCAACCCTGTTGCAAGGTAGCAGCGATAGAGCAAGAGATAGGAGATGGCCGCGCGAGCGGCAAGGATACATTCCAAGGGATTGTTCTCCGCGCCGATGTCAGATAGCGCGCCGCAGAGCGGCGCAGTCAGATTGGAGGCCGGTCACCCGGGCGCCAGCGGCCGCGGACAAACGCTCGACATCCCTCGCCTTTGCCTTTCCTCCTTCAGCGTCGAGGGGGAGAAGACGAAGCGCGAGTCCGCGCCCTGCCAGAATTCGGCAGAGCAGCTGCGTTACAAAAGAAAGGCGGCAACCAGCGCGCTCAACCTAAGCAAGCTACCCCGCAACTTATCACTCCTCGGGCGGCTCAAATGGTTGCGTCTGGCCAGCCCTGCAAGGAGCACGTCGCTTCAAATCATGCTTGAAAGATTGCATTCCCTCCGTAACTTGTAAGAGCACATCACGGTCAACGCCCCCTTGGTGTGGCAATATGCAGTCATGTCTCGGGCGCCACACCACTGCGCGCTATTCGCGATGCCGCGCTCCATCCTTTGCCGCGTCCAACTGGCGTGACCCAGGGGGGTGCATTCAGTCGGCTTCTCCAAGTCTTTGCTTGGCACGGGCTTGAATACGCATTCCGCATCAATGGTCAGGGTGATCTTACTGCTGAGGCCGCCCATCTCGATCCAATCCCTCAGTTGAGTGGGTGTCAGCGGCCCCGCGTGGAGCTCACGTACGTAACGATCGCGGGATAGCAGTCCCCCAAGTGATGGGCCGCTGCTAATGTTTCAGCCGAGTAGCCGACGGACCTGCAAGCGGTGGGACCTGCAGCGCGCGCCGACAAGGTGGACAACAGGCTCGCCAGCATGCGCGTGCCCACACCTTTGCAGGTTTGCCCCGCGAGAACCATGACCTTCGACCTCGTCATCGGCATCGCCGTCCAGGCGACGATCGCCAGAGTCGCTGCGCAGGTCTACCTCGAACACCCATTGGATCATCGCTTTATAAGCGATCTTTTCAGGGCTGGCCTGCAGCTAACTGATAATCGCGCTGTGTCGTCGCGCTTGCATGTTGGTCGGTTATCGGGCGCGCTGGAGCGATGCGACATATGCCAGTAGCCATGCATGCACGATGAAGGAGTGAGTGGGCCAGGGCACTTCCGAGGCTGACAAGCATGTCAGTGACCATATTCGATGCCTTGGCCTCGGCATCTGCACGTGAGTTTGCGGTGCTGGATAGGACGGAGCTGGTTTACATATTCGTCTTGGTCAAGAGTAACCTGACCGTCGCTATCCTTAGCATATCTGACAGCACAGCTGGTGCATGTATGTTGTTTGAGCTTGCATTCCCCATAAGGTATCCTCAACGCACTTACCATGCATATAGCATCAACCTGCTTGGCGATGAGAAGTCTGGAGCTCGTCTCGGACCTCTCGTCGTAAGACGTGGGTCTGAGTCCAAAGCCTCTCGTGGTCTTCCCGGGTCTCAGTGGGGCGGCTCATGGTGCATCTTTGGTGCCGGTGCCTGGTTTAAGGCACTGTACACAGTGTCTTGACTCATCGTGGCGCTCAAATCCGGGGGGCGATCTGAGCGTCGATGCTGACCCAAGTGGGAGGGTAAAGCGCGCCGCGCGTTCCTGTTCACCGATCGCTTCAGCGAGCTCTTGATATGCGCGCCCCTCCAAGAAGGCCATGTTGATGTCAAGGGAAACGATGGCCCGCTGCTTCCTGCGCGCTGCCGCGCGAAATCGCCGGCTCGGCCGCCGCGCCGCCCCTGAGGGCGCATGTGCATCGAAGGCTTCGGGGCCCATGAAGCCCCGCCGTGCCAGGCGCAACCTGATGGCGCTCTCCGTTTCGACCCTGTTATTATTGACGAATTTCCTTCCATATACGCATCTCGAAGTCATGATGCTTGACGCCATGGATATATCTTGCGTCATGATTCACTCGTTGTCGAACCGTGTCTTGATTTCCATATATAAGGCGTTCGACACCTTGACCGGATTCGCTTGGATATCGACCTTCGCGAGGAGGTCGCCCTCCTTGACGACCGCAGCTCGCCAAGCTACAGCGGCCCCATATACTCGCATCGCGGCAGCGCGGTCGACGTCCAGTATCCTATGTGGTTGTTCGGATAAGACTACCTTCGACACCGCTGCCGCATAGCAGAGCCCCATAATTTGTCCGTGCGTGTCGGACTCTGATCCATAACTGTCATCGTCATCCGTGAAACACACTGGGACATGATATGTCTCGGTTGTGTCCAGTCCCCTTGCTGTTCTTCATCTACTGTGACCAGCGCGCTGTTGTCAGAGATCATACGCGGGTGCAGAATCGAGTTCTTCTACTGGGTTGCTTCCAGCAAATCCTATTCATTTTGTCGTTCTGTATAACGCACGTCTATAATGTGCACCTCGAAGTCCGCCTATGATTCCTCGTAGATTGCGGGGCGCCTGCCGCCCCCGTGCGGCGGTTCAGCTTCTGGGGCCTTCCTGGCATTGCTGCCTCGTGCTGGCATGTCTGCGAATGCTTCGAACTTCGCCATGCCTGGATCGCAACCCGCTTGCTTGTTGGTGGACTTCAGGCACTTGGTTATTCTAGAGTGTATATCTAAGACATGTAGGGCAGTGTCTACAGCTGCATGAGAATGAACACCTGGGTTCACGTCGTTGCCATAGTGCGCCAGCGTACACGCGTCAGCATGCGTTGCCAGAGGTTACCTGTGGACACCCTCAACTAACCTAACAGAAACAACGCTTTCGATTCGGAAGGAGTTTCTGATGAGATGCTGGAGAGCAAAGTGGACCCTCGGAGAGAATCGGCCCACGCTCGTCATTTGGAGCGCCCCCTTTCTGGTCGGGAGACAGCCGAAGGTCATGGCAAGTTCCCCCGCAGGCAAACTCGCTACGAAGGCCAGCGCAGCCCGCAATGCTGCATTGCCCGATCCAGTTCTTCGGGCGACCACCAAAGCTTCGATATAGAACGAGCGTCTTGCATCACCGCGCTGCACTTGTGCATCGCGATTTCCCACTCGCACGATCACTCGGCCCCTCTCAGGATCATTCCCCGCGACCGGCACTGGCCCATTCGAACCGCCCCAATCGTCTTTCGTGGATGCGGGGCGATGGTAGTCAACCAGATCGCCCTCGTTGTAGTATTGCTGACCAACGATGGCAGTCTTAGTTCGTAACGCACGGCTTGTCTTTGCTATTGCTGTGGCTTGCGTGTGAGCCTCGGTGCTTGCACGACTGATAGTCGGCTCTCGATTGTGATCGGACGTGTCCGTCTGTTGTTCGTGATCTAGAACAGGCCGGCCGGGGGGCATAGCTGGTTGTCCAATGCGTTATGTGGTAATAGATCGTTGTAGGAAGTCAACGCGTTGGTGGCAAACAAATTAAACCTCATGCAATAGTCGGGTGGGCACAAGTGGCATGTCTAACCCATTGAGTTCAGCCTCCGTGACGTGAAGCAGGTGTCGTAATGCGCCGCTGCTGGCTTCAATGGCCGTAGCGCGTTGCCCACGCGCGCGCATTTCAGCTCAGCGCTCACCCCCTTTAAGAGCGCCCTCGCGGCGTTGTCAATGAGAGCAACTGCCCCGTCGGAGCACTGTACTTTGGCAGGCCCG